GTTTGGATGACCCTGATGATCCCCCGCCCCCCCGTCCACAAGTACCTACCCAACATAGTCAGTTGTCCCAGAAACAAAGGATGCCCTAACCTTGAGCAAGCTCACCCAGTTTGGGGTCGCCGACCTGTGGAATGGTCCTCCCAGCCATCCTAGGGCTCCTCTGGTGGCATTTGGGTTTCTCATGAGGCCATTGGTGTTAACTGCAGTGGACACCATTATTGGAGCTTTCTTAGTACCCATCTCTTTTCCTTGCATCTCTGACGATTTTCAATGTCTCTCTTGGCTGTCTACGGACCTATCGACTGCTTTCAGAGAAAGTCTTTTGGGATGAATTAGACCAAACTTCTGCTCTGTTCTCTATTCTGTTGTGTCTGGGCAGGGACTTTTGTACTTTTAGAAAAAGAGAGGTGGTTCAATCACAGGCAGCCTGGCTGAGTTCTCATAGTTTGTTAATAGGAACTCACTCTCTCTTCATCTGGTCAAACAATCAGTCCTCACCTACTTTGTTCAAATTGGACAGATTTCTTATCAATCCAGATTGGGAGCAACACTTCCAGGAGGTGACCTCTACATCCCTTCCGTGGCCCACTTCAGATCACATTGCCATTCTCTTTGATGCCCAAACTTTCATCTTCAACCCTAGACCTTTTAGATTCTGACATATGTGGTTGGAGGCATAGTTAGCAAGTCGGGGAGTAATAATATATCGGTGAATCAAATCATCAGTAATGGATCAGTTTTATTTCAATAAGTCTGAGAAAAAATCGGGTCAAAAAATCGAATCGCCAAAAATAAGTTAAGTTATAGAATCATGAATACTTTGGATTCCCCTAAAAAAATGGAGTGAAAAAATCGGATTTATAAAAATTATATAGGATTATGATTTGCAGTTAAAGCCATTGGACAATAATTTTATGGCCTTACCTTGTGTCATTAGAGTAATACTTGACAAATTATTATCTGAACTTTCAATAAATCCAATAACAATGCTTGCTGTATTATCACAACACAAAATGTATCATAGTTTTATTGCGAGCATAAAATGAAACAACAACAATAATAGTAAACACAAGAACTATATTAGTAAATAATAAGAACTGTAAACCAAGGTATAGGATTATTGTTCAAAGAAAAAAACAGAAAAGACCCTCAGTATAGGATTGCAGTTAACTAAAGTAAAACACGAACGCTCAAATATATAAAATAGTGGTCCATCCAAAATTGAAATTAAAAAAAATAAAAATATGATATTAATCAAACTTCTGTATGCATGAAGAAATTAGCAAAATGCTTATGCAAATTTGAATCTCGCACTTAATTTCTACCTGCCTAAATCTTTAGTATCATTGAATCTCTCTCTTGCTCTTTATAAGGATGCTCTAGATTTAAGGGAAATTGTTTTTTCATCTTCTTCTTATTCAACCTATTATTTTGAGATATACGATTGTTTTGATGTCTTATTTTTTGGGGAATATATTGCTTGTATTTTTTTGTACACCTTTTTTAGGGGAACTTATTCCTAAAATTTTTGATAGAGTTTTCTGTTAAATCAAGATTCTTAATTTACTTCCACTCTTAATGTGCTTATTTTTAAACCAAAATTCAATTATATAAGTTAATGAAGAAATAAAGTTATGGGGAAATTTTTTTTTTTGAAAAAAGATAAAATACACTTGTATGAGTTTCATTAAAAAAAGGCGACTTTTTGAAGATCTTCTGAAAACTTGGAGTTCTTACCGGATTTCAAAAAATTGGAAATTTTTTGATAAAATCGTGTTTTAAATGGAGACTTGCTAACTATGGTTGGAGGACAATACTCTCCCTAATCGCCCCATCGTCGGTCCCTTTTTGAAGTCTAGGGGTGGATTGGTTTCATATTGCCTAATGAAGCTACAGCTCTTCATGCAAAAATTGAGAGCCTGGAATAGGGATGCTTTTGGCTCTTCCACACAAAAAATCAGGACTCTTTGGCTGAGAGGAGCGAGATTTACTAGAGTCAGGGTCCTCTCCCCTTTTGAGCTTGAGGCTAGAACTTCAGCAAAGGCAAATTTCGGAAGTATTTTAAAGCAAGAGGACTTTTGGCACCAACGCTTTAGGATTGAGTGGCTACAAGAGGGGGACTGAAACACCTCCTTTCACGATCTGCAAGTTGCTGAAGGCGGGCCAATTCTGTCCTACAGATCATGGATAATGGTGTAATGTACAAAGTGCAAGATGACGTTTGCAAAGCTATTGTCTCTTACTTTCGAAATCTCTTCACTGCCGAAAGCCCCCTAGACTTCGAACATAAAATATCTCTTTTCAATCCATCTCTTCAGATAGTGCCCGATGGCTTGAATGACCTTTCTTAGAACAAGAAATGCTCAAAGCCACGGATGAATTGAGATAAGGCCCCTTTTCTTGAGGGCTTCCCCCTCTTCCTTTTCAGCATGTTCTGGAATGTCCTTGGCCCCAATGTCCTTGCATGGTTCCCCAAGTTGTATGAGAAAGGTGTGGTGGACAAAAGTATGAATGCTATATCACACTCATCGCGAAAGTAGAGGGAGCCAAGGAACGTAAGGGGTTTAGACCAATTAGCCTTTCGAAAAGCTTATAAGATCATTTCATTCTTGTCTCAAGACTGCACTAAGTTTTGAGCCAAGTTATCTATCTACCCAAATCAATGAGCCTTTGTAATGTACAAAGAGCAAGACGACATTTCCAAGGCTATTCTCTCTTACTTTTGAAATCTCTTACGCTGCTGAAAGTCCCCTAGACTTTGAATAAAAAATCTCTCTTTTCAATCCATCTCTTCAGATAGTGCCCAATGGCTTGAATGACCTTTCTCAGAACAAGAAATCCTCAATGCCCCCTGCTGAATTGAGATAAGGGGCCCCTTTTCTTGACAGCTTCCCCCTCTTCCTTTCCAGCTCATTCTGGGATGTCCTTGGCCCCAATGTCCTACCCTGGTGCCCCAAGTTCCATGTAGACAAGTATGAATGCATATCACACTCATCCCGAAAGTAGAGTTAACCAAGGAACTTAAGGGGTTTAGGCCAATTAGCCTTTCGAAAAGCTTATAAGATCATTGCGTTCTTGTCTCAAGACCGCACCAAGTTTTGAGCCAAGTTATCTACCCAAATCAATGAACCTTTGTTGCTGGCAGGCAAACTTTGGATGTTGCATTCATATGGCAAACCAAGGAAGGCATCGACAAATGGCTCCTCTCAAGAATGCTGGGCTGGAGAACTTGAAAATGCCTACAATCATCTAGACTAGAGGGTCCTTTACTCCATCTTGCATCCGTTGGGCTTAAGACCAAAATGGAGGGAACGGATCCATAGCTGTTTGCCCTCAGCCAGTTCTCCATCCTAATCAATGGATCCCTCATGACTTCTTTTGTGCTAACCTTGGCCTTAGACAAGGGGATCTTTTGTCCTCTTTCTTTGTTATTGTAGCTTATGTCTTTAGCAGGTCCATCGATAGGCTTTACCAGCATGGTATGCTCAACCATACCCTGATAATCTCTCATCTTCGTTATGCGGATGACGCTTTGGTATTCCTTGGTTCCTCTGCCCAAGAAGTCGACAATCTATAGCTTTTTATTCATTGCTTCAAATTAGCCATGTGTTTCAAGGTCGACATGCTTAAAACCAAATTCATGTGTATTTAGACCAAATTTGTATCCAAGTGTTAGCATGAAGAATGGGGTGTGGCATTGATAAACTTTCAAGCAAATATCTTGTATTACCCCTTTAATATATTCCAATGGGATACCTTAGTCGAGGAATTTGACAGGAACTTGGCTGCCTATAAATGTCAGTTCCTCTCTTCGGAGGTTGCATTGCTCTAATCAAATCCACCTTGACAAGCATCCCAGTATTGCAAATGCCCCTTTTTTGCAATGCCGGTGTCAGTGGCACAGAAACTTGAATGCCTCATGCAAGATATCCTATGGAGTGGAAGCTCAAATTCTATTCAATTCCACCTGGTCAGGTGAGAAGATACGCAAACTCAAGTCTTCTGGGACCTACAAATTGCCAACACCGCCCTCCTGGGCAATTTGTATTGGCATTGTGCCACTAACTAGGATCACCTGTGGGGTGATAAGTGATGTCAAATAGATATGGTACAGACTGCTCTGGGTGGCTCTTGAAAGGTCCATCTTACTCAAGGGCTTCAGGCACATGGCACATTATTAGACTGCTCGGTTTCAACTTTTCATTCTGTGTTCGCTTCTCCCCTAGCTCTGGGAACTGTATTAGATTCTGAAATGACGTCCAGCTTGGATATCAAGTCCTTGATGTAGCCTTCACTGTCCCAAACAACAATGCTGTATACAGTGAGGCTTTGAAACGGACTCTACTTCTGGAGTGGCTGGAAATAGAGTTTGGATACCTCTCCTGTGCTGAGGTCTCACAGAGACTCTGACCTCCCTGCTTCTTCCCCTTCTTTCTTGGCTAGACGTTTTTGTCTTCCCCCACAGGTGCCGATAGAATAGTTTGGGCCCCATCCCCAACTGGTCTTTTCATGTTCTCTTCTTTATTCAAAACCCTCAACCTACACCTCCAATCCAGTGACTGACTGCGAATAGTGCTTGGCTCCCCTCAAACCCCACCCAAGGTGAAAGGTTTCTCTTGGCTTTGCCATTTCGGACAAAGTTTAACAGTAGATTAAAAAGCAAGGTTTCCATCTAGCCAATAGATGTACCATATGTGGTACCAATGAGGAATCCAACCCCACACCGCATTTAACCATCGCAGAAGGTGGGTTGATGCGCGATGGTGGTTGGAAACTATCATAAATAAGTAGATGCTGAGAACTCCTGTTGGGCGCCCTTTGTTTACTTCTTTTTTTTTTTTTTGAATGTTATGTTGGACCCTTTGCTGTGGTATTTAATGAAGCGACATGATGCTAAGAATCCACAGTATCAGTATTATGTGTTATCTAGCGAACTGCTGTAGGGGTATCTTGCATGTTGCACAAGGGTATGGTTTTAATGCGACACCTTTTCACTGCAGGTGGAGTTGGATGGCTTGATAAAGATTACAGAGCTCTTCTTCGCCTCGAGGTTTTGAGAGTTGATGTGAAGTTAGGAGGTTCTCTCGTGACGAGTGTTTAGAGTTTTTTCACCTTATGCATGTTGTCACATTCGACAACATTTATGAACGTTACTGTAACGATCATATGATTTTGATTTGTGGCCGTTTATACAATGTCTGAATCTTATTTGTGTCAGATTTTTCATTTTTTGATTAATAGAATACCTAATTTATGCTATGAACATCAGAAAAGAAAAGAAAAAGGTTTAAGAATCAGTTCATGTGAGGTGAATATTGTTTCAAGAGCTACATCTTTTGCGAGGCCTCGAAACGTGCAAGGCCAGAACATGGAAATGCAAAAGTTACTCCTAAAGACCTTTAAACTGGTTTCTGTCATGCAAATTCGCTTACTGGCCGGTCTGGCCCCTCATTTCCTTATTCTTTTCCTTATTCTTCTCCTCATCTAATTCCCTCTCCCTATTTGGTCTTGAGTACCTATCTTCTTTAGCTCAACCTGCCTTGAAGGGCAGGTAGGAGCTTATCTCGGTGATTCGCTACGCTTGCTTGCGCTTTCGGCTTTTACTCAATTGCCGAGCTTAGAGATGCTTTCCATTTGACGTGCTGTTAATGGTAGAAATAATCACATTAATATTAGTAGTTGCATTGGCATATTCGTTGTGATAAGTATTTATAGTTCCATTTTGTATGAGAGTTTTGACCCCTGTACACGAAGGCATCGTTTTATTCTCTCTTTATGTATGCACGAC